TCAGATAAGTTGTACAAGGCCCCAATAAAATGATTTAAAAAAAAACAATGGAAGTTGGAATGTGTGAAGCATGAATCTAGGAAAATAGAAAGTCATAAAAAAATGAAATGATGCATAAATATCAAGATCTTAGGCATTAGTGAGCTGAAATGGACTGGTATTGGCCATTTTGAATCAGAAAATTATATGGTTTACTATGTTGGGGATCACATACTCAAGAGGAATGGAGTTGTATTCATTGTCAAAAGCACATTTTTTAAAAAAAAGCACATTTCAAAATCAATCTTGAAGTACAATACTGTCTGTGATAGGATCATATCTATCTGCCTTCAAACAAATGTAATCAATGCAACTATTACTCTAATAATTTATACTCTAACCAAGAAAGCTAGTGATGAAGAAATTTTTAAATTCTAATATCTTCAAATAAATTTTTTTTTTCAGATTTCCAGGTGCTGAGTTAGTCCCCCTTCTCCTCTTTTCTCTCCCAGCTCTTCAAACAAGACTTGGACTCTTTTGAGATGTCTCCAAACTCTGCCAGCCTTTAGAGAGAAATGTAGACTATCTTGTAAGACCTTGAATTACTATAGGCATCTGTGTTCTCCATTTACAGTTAAAATTGTAACAGCTAGCTGGATCCGGAGCAGGCCAGAAAGCCGGAGCAGAGCTCTGGTCTTCCCTTGGATGTGCATACCGAGCCAAGTCAGTTTCCAAGGACACCCTGAGTCGATGGCAGCAGAGTGGACAAACTGCTCACCCTTGTATCCTCTTCCAACCCCAAACATCAGAAATGCAGCCCTCAAACAACAACAAAATTATGTACAAACCATTTATAATGTCTCTGCACTGATCCCCCAAACAACCAATAAAATGCTAGTTAGAAATGGGGTTGGGGTGGTGGGGATCTTTATAAAGAACAACAACAAAAAGATTTATATGAGAAAAAATAATTGTCAAACTTGCAATCAAGATGTATTGATAATTATTGGCAATTGGAATGCAAAGGGTTGGCAACAAAGTGAAAAGGAACAAAATTTGGAACATATGGTCTTGGTGATAGAAATGAAGCTGGAGACTGCATGATAGAATTTTGCAGTACCAATGACTTGATCATAGTAAATCCATTTTTTAACAACACAAAAGCCTACTATACACGTGGACTTCTCCAGATGGAATACACATAAATCAAATTGACTACATTTGTGGGAAAAGATGATGGAGAGGCTCAATAATTGCAGCTAAAACCAGGTCAAGGACTGATTGTAGAGCAGACTTTCAATTGCTCACATGTAAGTTCAGGTTAAAGCTGAATAAAAATAAAACAAGTCCAGAAGAGCCCAAATGTGACCTTGAGTCCATCCCATCTGAATTTTGACAACATCTTAAGAACAGACTTGACACATTGAACACTAATGACAGAAGACCTGATGAGCTGTAGGATATCAAGAATGCCATTAATGAAGAAATCAAAAGGTCACTAAAAATACAGAAAAGAAAGAACAAAGTGGATGTCAGAAGAGACTAAGAAACTTGTTGTAAATCATAGAGTAGCTAAAAGCAAATGCAAGAAACGATGAAGTCAAAGAGCTGAAGAAAACATTTCAAAGGGCATCTGAAGAAAACAGTAAAATCATATAATGAAACATTTGGCTCTTTAGGAAAATTGAAAAAATTAAAGGATATTATTCAAATAATAGTGATTTCATTTGTTTGTAAAATATATTTATGACTCTCAAATAATTTTTTAATTGTTGTGAGGGACAGTATTGGCTCTTCCATCTCAAAAGTTTGCCACCTCCCTGGTACATAACATTGATTCTTTGTATTTTGGGATGGCACAAAATTCTCTTTAATCTTATTCAGGATTAACTATATAATTTGAAGAGCTTAATGCAAAGTGAAAATATGGGTTCCAGCAAAAGTAGAGCACTAAACACATGGACTATACAGATTATGTGCCCAGGAAGCTGACTCTGTCACCATCCTCTGATCTTCTCTTTTCCCCATTGACCTCAAGAAGCAAATCCTGGCCTCTCTGGGCATCACCTCGGAGCTTGTTAGAAATGCAGACTCTCAGGTCCCACTCCAAACCCCTTAATCAGGATCTGTGTTTAACAAGATCCCAGGTGATTGCTTGTATATTAAAGTGGTTAGGATTATGGGGCTCAATATCCTTAACATTGTTGAGTCATAGTAATTAAAAACAAAACCCCTCCCGTCCCCCCAAGAAGAATTTATTTCAAAGGATGGCATTGAATCTGCAGCTTCAGGAGAGGGACATGTCTGATGGGAGCACACTGGAGCAGATGAAGGGGGAGGAGAAGAGAGTGGAGCACATCCTGGTCCACCGAGAGGACCACATGGCCGGCCCCACTATGAGACATGACGTCCCTCACTGACCCATAGCCCTATAGAGGACAACACCCGAGACAGTGTGGAATTGTGCCCAATCAGATCCTGCCACACGAGGCAAAACACTAAGGGGGTGCAACAGAACAGCAAGGGAATGAGGTGGCGAGGTCCCCAGGGAATGCTGAAGGTGGACTTTGGGGCCATGGCGTGGTTCCCCAACAGACTGGACTGGAAACACTCC